GGGCCCATTGGCTCATGCCTGTAATCCCAGCACTTTGGGTGGCTGAGGCAGGTGGATCAGCTGAGGTCAGGAGTTCGAGACCAGGCTGGACAACATGGTGAAATCCTGTCTCTACTAAAAATACAAAAATTAGCCAGGCGTGGTAGCGCACACTTGTAGTCCCAGCTACTCGGGAGACTGAGGCAGGAGAATTGCTTGAACCCCGTAGGCAGAGGTTGCGGTGAGCCGAGATTGTGCCACTGCACTCCAGCATGGGCGACAGAGTGAGACTCTGTCTCAAAAAAAAAAAATAATAATTTTACAAAAGAATCTCTTCGAATGTCAGACAGGCACACTGAAGGCAACACATGTTCCCAGACCACAAAGGAAAAGAGCTGTAAAGAACGTGATGGTGACAGGTGGTGAAGTGTGCATATGGATTATATATTGGATAATAACATCAAGTCAACGTGAAATTTCATGAATTCATTGTATCTTCATTATTATGTAAGGGAACAGACTTGTTCTGAGAGATGCCCAGTCCCTTCCGGGCTCATTAACAATAAACAGGTGTACATATTAAAATGTTCACAATGGGTGAGGTGAGGAAAGATGGTACCTGAGAGGTCATCGTAGTCTTCTTGCAACTTTTGATATTCTTTCCAAAATAAAAAGTTAAAAAAAAAAATACATCTGAGTAGGGATGAAAAAAATAGAAAATAGGGCCGGGTGCAGTGGCTCACGCCTGTAATCCCAGCACTTTGGGAGGGTGAGTTAGGTAGATCACTTGAGGTCAGGAGTTCAAGACCAGCCTGACCAACACGGCAAAACCCTGTCTCTACTAAAAATACAAAAATTGGCTAGGCGTTGTGGTTCATGCCTGTAATCCCAGCACTTTGGGAGGTCGAGGCGGGCAGATCGCTTGAGGTCAGGAGTTTGAGACCAGCCTGGCCAATGCAGTGAAACCCTGTGTCTACTAAAAATACAAAAATTAGCGGGGTGTGGTGGTGGGCACTCGTAATCCCAGCTAGTCGGGAAACTGAGGTAGGAGACTCGCTTGAACCGGGGAGGCGAAGTTTGCATTGAGTCAAGATTGCATCACTGCACTCCAGCCTGGGCGACAGAGCAAGACTCCGTCTCAAAAAAAAAAAAGTAAAAAAAAGTGTGGTGGAGGAGAAGAAATTCTGATTCATGCTACAACATGGATGAACCTTGAGGACATCATGCTAAGTGAAAGAAGCTAGTGTTAGGAGACAAATGCATCATTCCAGTTGCATGAGTTCCCTAGAACCGGCAAATTTATAAAGACAGAAAATAGGTTGGAGGTTAGCAGGGGCTGGGGAAATGGGGAGTTTTTGCATAATGGCTACAGAGTTTCGTTTAGGAGGCTGGAAAGATTCTGGAGGTGATGATGGTGATGGTGGCACAATGGTGAATGCACTTAATGCCACTGAGCTGTTCACCTAAAAAGGATTAAGGTCAGGTGCGGTGGTATGTGCCTGTAGTCCCAGCTACTCGGGAAGCTGAGGTGGGACCACCGCTTGAACCTGAAGAGTCTGAGGCTGCAGGGAGCTGTGATCAAGCCACTGCACTCCAGTGTGGGACAGAATGAAACCCTATCACAAAAAAACCCAAAAAATTAAAATGGCAAATTTCATGTGATACAATCATGCATTAATTGTTAATGGAAATACATGGGAATCTGAGGCGGGAGAATCGCTTGAACCTGGGAGGTGGAGGTTGCAGTGAGCCTAAATCGCGCCACTGCACTCTAGCCTGGATGATGGAGTGACACGCTGTTTCAAAAAAAAAAAAAAAAAAAAAAAAGGAAATACATGTAGCGAGATGTGTCATTAGGCAATTTCATCGTTGTGTGAACATCACAGAGTGTGCCCACGCACACCTAGATGGCACAGCCTACCGCACACTTAGGCTGTATGATACAGTCTAATGCTCCCAGGTTACAAACCTGCACAGCATGGAGCTGTGCTGAATCCTGCAGGCAACTGTAACCCGAAGGTAAGTACTTGTGTATCTAAACATATCTAAGCATAGAAAAGGTGCAGGAAAAATATTGTATAAACGATTAAAAAGTTTATTAAAAAGCGTGAGTGGTGGCTCACGCTTGTGATTCCAGCACTTAGGGAGGCTGAAGTGGGTGGATCCCTGAGGTCAGGAGCTCGAGACCAGCCTGGCCAACATGGTGAAACCCCATCTCTACTAAAAATACAAAAATTCACCAGGCGTGGTGGCGGGTGCCTGTAATCCCAGCTACTTGGCAGGCTGAGGCAGAAGAATTGCTTGAACCCGGGAGGTGGAGATCATAGTGAGCCAAGATGGTGCCACTGCACTCCAGCCTGGGCCAGAACAAGACTCCGTCTAAAAAGCAAAAAAAAATCTTATTGAACAACCATCATGATTGCAGTCTGTCATTGACTGAAATGTTGTTATGTAACGCTTAATGGTACATGTTTTATCACAATAAACACACATAGAGTAATGAGATGTCATTGTCATGCTCAGGTTGTAAGACACTAACTTCCATCTTGTTAGCAGGATGTATTACCCTCCCAGTTTTCAGACTTTAACAAAGCAACCCATCATGTTGAAGAGACCCCTATGTGAGTCAGCAAGTGACTCTTTTCCCTTTCCAATCTTTTTTTCTTTTCTTTTAGAGATGGGATCTTGCTATGTTGCCCTGGCTGGGCTGAAGTGGCTATTCACAAGCGCAATCACAGTGCACTACAGCCTCAAATTCCTAGCCTCAAGCAATCCTCATGCCTCAGCCTCCAGAGTAGCTGGGCCTACAGGCACTTAACACCTCATCTGGCATCCCCCAGGTCAGATCTTTGGATGAGACCCCAGCCTTGGCTAACACCTTGATGAAAACCCGTGGAAGGTTCTAAGGCAGGTAAGACACAGAAACAGTGAGATAATGAATATGATTATTTTAAGCCATTAAGAGTTGAGGGGCCAGGTAAGGTGGCTCATGCCTGTAATCTGAGCACTCTGGGAGGCCGAAATGTGTGGATCACTTGAGCCCAAAGGTTCGAGACCAGCCTGGGCAACATAGCAAAACCCCATCTCTACAAAAGTTTTAAAAATTAGCTGGGCATGGTGGTGTGCACCTTTAGTTCCAGCTAGTCTGGAGGCTGAGGTGGGAGGATCGCTAAGCCCAGGACACAGAGTTTGCAGTGGGCCCTGATCTTGCCACTGCACTCCACCCTGGGTGACAGAGGGAGACCCTGTCTCAACAACAACAACAACAACAACAACAACAACAACAAAAGATTTGGGGCTATTTGTTACACAGCAATAGATAACTAATACACTTGTGTGTGTGTGTATGTGTGTGTGGTTTTTTGTTGTTGTTGTTTGGTTGGTTTTGAGACAAAGTCTTGCTCTGTCACCCAGTCTCTGGAGTACGGTGGCGCGATCTAGGCTCACTGAAACCTCCCCCAACCGGGTTCAAGAAACTCTTCTGCCTCAGCCTC